TAAAAATCTTATATAGTAGGCCAATCATATAGTGCTGCACTATGTTTGTAAATCATTTAGCGTGGAACACCCCAATGCTTCTTCCGTCTCAATTACGTAACCCTACAATCCACGTGGTAATCGAAAGGCATATTAATATATATATAAATTATATATTACCATTTCAAAATTTTGAATTTCTAAAATTTCTAATGAGAAACTCTAAACAAAAACGAAAATACTTGAAATCGGTTTCTAAAACATTTTCGACTGATAGTCCAAAATTTCATTCAATACATAGCAACAGACATGTTTCAACACCAGAGGTCTCTACACTACTTGATAAACTGCGTCACGAATCCCAACCAAAAAACAACCAAAGATCAACCGAAACGTTGCCGATGCCTGCGTATAAGTATTTAATGAGAGCTTATTTAAATCAAGTTGAAGGTGAACAGAGGGAAAGGATTGAGAACGATCTGAGACTCCGTGTTTCAGGTCCGTTACCACCCAAAAGTTGGCGAGGTGCGTGGTACTCTGAAAATACCAGTAAATTGAACGAATCTGATAAATTACAAACGCTAATTGAAGTGCGAAAAGCAAAAAAAAGCGCTTGGGATGGTGAGAGAAATATTTCTCTACCATTCTTGATTTCTTTTTTTAACTATTGTACTTTTATCAATTTATAAAGTTTTTACATTATAATTTGATTATCTTATAATTACAGAACTGTCGTCTTCCAATTTTGATCTACCATCACTCGCTATTATTTGCATAAATACAATAGCCATAAACATCAAAAATTATATTTCATGTCCATACTTTTCAAATTTGCCTACACATCTAAAACAAAATATCCTCTCCTCTTTAAGCATACACAATCCTCTCACCGATGATTTGCTTAAATTGTTTGCATCTGATTCGGAATATGATGAATTAGATATATCAAATAGTAGTGTCTCTTTGGAATGTCTGAAAAGATCTTTTTGGCAAATGGTTAATGATAAAGATATCATGAATGATATTGTAGACGATTGGGAAGCCCTTATGGATCGCTCTGAAAGCGATAATACCGATTTTTTATCATTTCGATATATTAAATCATTTGATTCTTCCTCGGTTTGGGAAAAGCCAGTGAAAGATTCTAGATCATTGTCTACAAGATATATTTCTAAAGCTCCTGAACTTCGTAGATTAAATGTTAGTTTTACTTGCAATATTCCTATCATACCATTATCAAAGTTAGTTACTTCAACTATACCGCTACTTAGCCATTTATCCATCGCTGGTTGTTCTAACCATGAAGATGGTCCTCAAGCATTGAGAATTTTTAGTACGGGATTGATAAATCTTGTTTTCCTTGAAGTATCCCATAATGACTGGGTAACCGATCAGGTGGTTTTGCAATGTATAAATTGGGATAGGGATCTCAAATATTTAAAAATGCTGGTTGCAGTCTGCTGTTTTTCTTGGAAGGATGTTGATGTTTTAAGAAATAAATTGTCTCGTGGAAGAGATGTTGATATAATCACGTGATATTTGGATCATGGTAGTATGGGTTCGGAAAACTAGTCTATAAATAAAATAAAAGATTACCGTATATTTCCCACGCTTAATTCTTACGTAAAAAAAAAATTATATAAAAAAATTTATATTTGAGTGCAGTCGTACTATATATGACATCGTTTTTTAGTTTTTTCACTTCCAAGCCAAAATCCGAGGAGGATATGGCCCTGACAAGCCAACCAGATGTTGATGGTTGGTAATTAAATTTTCTTAAAAATGTAATTTAAGAAACCACTTTTAATTTCTTGATCGTTTTCTATAGAGTTAACAACACCAACCACACTATCACAACAAGCCCAGACGGAGCCTGATCCATTGCCACAAGATTTGCCAGTTCAGGAGCAAGAAGCATCAACAGGTTTATAGATGAATTGTTAACCTTCATTAATCGTTTCTTCCAACTTACAATAAATTATGTTACTAGAACCAAAAGTTTTATCTCCCAACGATGAGGTCTTAACGCATATATCAGAAATGAACCAACTCACGTATGTATGTGCGCGTGCTATCTGCTTCTACGTGAGTGTACCGGCTACACAAATTTGTGCAAAAAATTTTTAAGCAAAGCTAACATTAGCTGTAATAAAGAATTCCTTGGCCAGAAGTTAAAGAAATAATTAAAGAGAGATTTGAAAAGGTAGAGAGGAAAACATATACGCTCTTTATTTTATTTATTTTATTTATTATTGATTAGCTTAAATGATTATAGATTTGTCAGGAAACACAATTGCCAATCGCAGTAAATGGCGCAGATCCAGAACAGATAGATAAAGCTAAAGCAGAGATAGAAGAATATAAACAAAATATTAACAAAATGCTCGATGGATTTGAGAAGTACATGATAACATCATTATTTATTTTTGGTTAATCATAATTGTATTAAGTTCTCTCGTACATTTATAGACCACCATTCACTATTCAAAGAACGGCTGAGTTATTACTGAGACCTTTTCAACATCATAAAACTTTAATTAAATGGCTTCGGGCTTTGGAAAAGGTAATACTGCAAAATAAATCTGGAGCAAATTCCATTTCGTTCCTTACTATTAAATTTTAAATCAAATGTCTTATATGATGTTATGCTCAAAAACTTGGCTCATTATTTCTATAATATTATTAGTATATATTTTCCCTTTTACTTATTCTTTTATATATATTGATTTATTCCAATATGATTACGGGATCTTTATTTCTTAGGTATTAATGGTGCAATCTTCTGTTGATGAATTCCCGCCAGTCTCAAATACCAATATGGTAACAGATAGACTAGAGATAATGGATGTAACTACTTCGCCAAAATTGGTTCCGATTACGTTTACCCCTAAAATAGAGGTTGTGACAAAAGAGGAAGGCAAGGAGACTGATTATGATGCTGATACCAATGAAGAAAGTAGTGAAGAAAGTAGCTCAAGTGAGCTTACAAAATTAGAGAATGCGGTAGCTGAAGAAAACCAAAATCCTGTAGAGAATACTGAAAGCACAGAAGCAAAAGAATCGCCTGTTGTTGCGGAGATAAGTGAAGGTCAAGAACCAATAGCAATGGACACTTCTGATTGATTGCTGGTAAAAAAGTTGGAGAGTTGAAATACGTTGAGTTGAATTTTATAAGATATTTCGTATGTATACAATTATTTCGCATTCGCTTATCTGCAGAATAGGATTCCAATAATTATAGTATTCGTTGTTTAGATCACTCATCTGAAAAAGCAATAGCATTGATCTTTTCTTCAAAAACAACTTTAAAAATTCAAGCATTATACCTTTTAAAAATTTTAATTACGAAAAAGTTTAGATTTATTATATAATTATAGACTCATTTATATGCTTAAAAAATAGGAACTTTACAATTATTTTAAATGGTAACTTAATATCAAATCACAAAAATAATAAATTTTAGTTTTAATTTTTACATTATTACTGATTTTTAAAGTTATGTTCCATGTAAAATTCTTTATAAATATATAAGCATAACTAATGATTAATAAATATAATCAGATATATAATGTAAAATAATATTTAATATTAAACTAAGCTTATTATTTTTCATGGTATCATTATCAAACAAAGATATTTTCTAACAAATAGTATATAATTGAAAATATAGATCAATCATTGCCACTATATGTGATTATGATACAAGGAACGAATAATAGAGTAAAAATATAATAATATAATAATAATAATAATAATAATAGTAATGAATGATAATGATAAAAAATAATTGACTCGAGGAAATAAAATAAAAGAATCATATAATTCATCATTTCTTTTTCAAAAATGTTACATTAATTAACTTAAGAAGACAAACCATAAAAATAATCTATTTATTCTTTTTAAATTTATCCAATAATAAAAAAAAAGTTCTTGTGTAAGAATTATATTTCACTTTCGCTTTCAGTTATATCATTACCATAGTCACGTCTTGTAGGTAAGTCTGGCAAATCATCCATATCTTCAGAATGATTAAGATCAGGAAATGCTTCATAAGTACTACCAGAATCACCCATATATATTCCTACATTACTACCATTTGTTGAAGTAGTTCGACCACTAATTGTTTTAGCATCATCATCATCATCAGCATATTCTGAATCATCATAAGAATAATTACTATTCGAAGTACTAAGGTAAGAATTAGTTAAAGATTTTGATTGTATGTTGAAATTTTCACTATTATTATCTTGATTGGAAGACAATGAAATGTTAGGTCTACGACCATTTTGTCTACGACCATATCGATAATTTTCAATATCAAATGTTCGAGGTTGTGGTACTGAATTACTACGGCGATGGACTCCTGAATCACCATTAGTGTTAATATCATTAGACTCATTAGACCTTTGTTCTAACATTTTTAACCAATAATTTTCCCAAACTTGATCTAAAAATATATATAAAGTTTAAGACAAGTAATAATAATTTTAAATGTAAAGGTGACATTAGGTATCTTACCTAATCCTAGTGCATGAGAATGACGGGCACCAACGGAGTTTAATGCTTGACTTACACCAACAGTAAGTGAACCATGCACAAGAGACAATAAAATGCCGTCATTTCTTGATATAGAATTGTTGTTCGAATCGTAACCACTTAAAAGAGGTGTGGAAGGATGTGCAAGTGGTTCTAAAACAGTATGCCTTCGATTGGAAGGAATGGTCGTAGCATTCGGACGTTGATACGTTCCATATCTTCGATCTGCGCCGATGTCATCAGATAATACGGATCGAGGTATAGGATTGGCAGCCGTGTGAGGTACTTTCACATAACCTTTAGTTCCTCGATTGGAAGTGATAAAGTAAACACCCACAAATGTCATTAAACATCCTGTCAAGAAGCTCGCACATTTCCAAAAATCCATTTCAGCAAAATCGTTATATAATATAGCACTACCTATTATTGCTGAAATAGTAAATAAAACAAATTGTGTGGGAATAACTTCCTTAAATCGACATAAATATAAAACATTGAAATTATTAGATTATATGATATATTTACAATCGTATCGTGAAGGAGAAATAAGTATTAACTACAAACCGTTGAATCAAATTGCCTTAATGCTTTGTTGAGAAATCTTATCTGAAGAACTGCAGTAGACACCAGAACAAACAACAAAATATATGTGATCGGATAACTAAACATCAAAACAAATTTCATCGTCAACAAGGAAGAGATTGCTTTTGTTGATAATACAGTATATCCACCTATATTATCAAAACTAGATATTAGAAAAACTGACGATATAATTATATTAAGTTTACTAAAACACACCAATTGTGCACCAATGGTAGTCAACACCATAATTACTACAGTCAGACCTCTCTAAGTGCACCCTCTATAAGTGCACACCCTCTTTAAATGTACGCTCAAGTTCTGGCCCAAATATGTACTCGACCTCTATAAATACACTTTTTCTTATTATTATTTATATGCACGTTATTAAAGTGTGGTGCACTTAGAGAGGTCTGACTGTATATTTTAATAAACTAGGAAATATTTGTTTCTGATGCTCTAAACAAAACTATTCAACGCCTCTTATTCTGGCCTTTATATTATCTATACTATAATAAAAAATATTCAGGACATTACCAAATATTGCAACCAATGATAGATCGATAATAATTAGTTTATGACCAATTTTATCAGAAAGGAATATTAACAGCATTGACATCACAAGCGTTACTGATAGATAAATGGTGAATTGTGTCTGCATAATAGCGATCCATATCGCTTGAGGTGAAAGCTGTTTAAAGAAATTTACATATTAATTATTTATTATTATAGCATAATTTTAAATAATTATACATACTTTTACTTCATCTGATTTTGAATTTATCACGACGACAACCGCACCAATAATTGCGATTAGAATTCCGAGTAAATCTTGAGGTCGAAACGTCTCCTTAAGCATTATTGGGGCCAAAATTACATTAGAAATCAAAGCGACAGTTCCGAGAGGAGCGATAACCGAAGCCGGAGCAAACGCATATGCGATAAAATTGCCCAATTCGCCTAAATATATCAAATATTAATATAAACAAAGAATAAATGAGTCTTGATAAAAAATATAAATTTTTACATAGTTGCGAAGTTATGTACCATGACTAGAATGGTAATATGCACGGGAATTAGGGACGTCATTAGAACATTGAAAATTTAATGTATTGTTTAGCCTAATGTGTGCTAAACAACAAACGAATTGCCTAAATGGTCTAATTACTCACCAATGATCATTAAAAAGAGACCAGCCCACCATGCTTTTGAATGAAGATAATTGATATTACCATAATCATCGGGATCTGGCACATAACTATCAGGAGTATTTGGATGAAAGTTGCGAGTTCCTAACGGAGAATTTGGTGCAGAGTCGTTTATATCGGTTGAATCAAGCCGGTCGAGTTGAAGCTTTTGAAGCTCATTATGAGCGTTTTTTTGAACGTTTAATGCGACAGAGATCAAAATCTATATAAAAGAGCAATATTAACACAAAAAAATATGTACCAACGAACTTACCAAAGAAATTATGAAAGAAAAGGGAAATTGAAGCTTACATTGCCAGAGACAGCGAAAATGACGCCAATGAAGGATTTGACCTCGGGTAAATCGGGTAAGGGTAATTTATCACTGGGAGGCCACATTGCGTTTTATCGATTATTGACCGTGAACATTGGGAATAAAGGAAAAAATTCAATCGATGATGCACCAGGATCTTGCAAGATGTATAAAAGACGACAGGATTATGTTCATTTATGTATATAATAGGTGTTACAGCGACGGGATAAATCAACTCCTTTTTCTCGTACGTAAGTATAATGAATGCGTGACCAATATTTTGCCGAATGCCAAATTAGTAAAATGAATCTCATTGCATTTACACATATATAGTATATCCATACATATTTAATTTAATCAACTTGACTTTCCTTTAAAAAAAGTAGTATCAGAGAAATATGGTCCGTGAAAGCATTATTGCTGTTTTAATAATTATTTATATAAGTTTTTTTAAAGAATGTATAGCACATAGACATATGCATAATCATGGAGGCCCTACTATAGTTGATTTACCTGCGAATATTATTCAAAATAGTAAGTTTTTTTTTTTTTCCGATTTTTAAAAGATTGTCAAATTTTGACGTTCGTTCATTTGTTCTTTACAGAATACGAGTGGAGATGTCTGGACATTTCTACTACTCCCTTACATGTGAAAGACTGTAATAATGTTCCTTCACAAACAATATTTATGGTAGACCTTTTTCAACAAAGTTATGAGGATTGCGCTAAGCCGATACAAATACTTGGACCGGGTGAAACTATGTATGTGTGTTATTATGAGATTGTTTAAGTATTTAAATTTCATACTAAAGTATTACTACGTAATAATAAAGCCTAGCATGGAATATGGATGATAATACTTTATTAATGAACTCATCATATTATGCCAAAAACACTGAATGGTGCTACACCGATTCAAATTTTGAGGTAAATTTGGTAAATTCAGCGTTCATTCACGTTTCCGTTTACCAACTTTATTTTATATTGTTTACTTTTCATTATTAGGATTCCGTTCTTATTCATCCATACGGTAGACCTACGGAGTGTCTATCTGCACCTATTATAGATGGCGATCCGGTAACAGTTATACCTTGCCTTGTTCCAACTGTTGAACAAATACAAGGAATAACTTGGTCATTTTTAATGGCTCCTAAATAATTTCATTCTGATAAAGATTCTTATAAAACCTTGTAAAAAAACAGTAATAATAAAATTAAAATACTTTCACAGGCCAATCTTTTTTTGATTATAATTTATTTAATTTTTCATTTACATTACAATAAGATTCTTATTTTATAAAAAGTAAATGAGTGAATAAAAAAAAAAAAAATTGTAATAATGTATTATTGTGCAGCAATCTGTGCAAGATGCTTATGAAGAGGTCCATGATTTGTTAGATATTTCACATAAGCACCATCTGGCTGCAAAAGGTTGGCTTGTCGTTTGTCCATGTATTCCTCCCGGGACAACCTTGTGAATCCCCATTTTTTGGATACAATAATTTTTTGGCGACCAGGGAACTTGTACTATTTTATTTAAAATTATCATTAATTTAAAAATAAAATAATGAAAAATTGCAAGGATTTTCTTCCTGATAAATTACCTTTGCGCGCCTGAGTGCTTCAATTACAACCGCTTTGACGTTATCTTTGGTACGAACAGAGAAAATAATTTGTCCAATATCAACACGGGCAACGGTACCTGTGGGCTTACCGAATGCACCTCGCATACCAGTTTGCAATCTTAATAATAAAAAAAAACGCAATATTTTTATTGAAAAAAATTTGCGAATTTGCTCAAAATGAAAAAACGCACAAATAACCCTATTATTACCTATCAGCACCGGCACAGGACAACATTTTGTTGATACGAATAACGTGGAAGGGATGAACACGAACCCTCAAATGGAAAGAATCTTTACCAGCCATTTTGGTGATATACTTGTTGGCACAGATACGTCCAGCCTCTAATGCTTCGCTTGATAACTGCTGATACTCATCAGAAAGTAAATGGACACAAAGAGGGAATTCATCAACATTTGCCTTCTTTCGCCCCAGATCAAAAATCCTAATTTTTGGATCTTTTCAAATACGAATTTTTTTCATTAGTACAATATATTTAAATAAATTAAAAAAAAAAATATGTATAAATACCAGGAACACCACGGCAAAATCGACTCTTTGGATAGGGTTTATTTTTACAATATCTATAACAACGTGCTGGACGACGACCCATTTTTTTTTTTTTTCAAAAGTTGAAAAACTAATCAAATTAATAATCAAACGGTTGGCTCGTATATATACTTTTTTTTTTCGATTGATGACAAATCAAGAGCATTAAAGCAAATGCTACCATATATTGATCGACCAATCGAATTGTGAGTTTTTGATCATCACGGAACCTACTGCGGATTATTTTCTGCGGTGGTTATTGTGTGATTTTGTGTGATTTTAATGCAATTATAAATACAGAAATAGCAGTTTTACCTAATTTCGTAACTTTTCGAATTTTCTCGGTGTCGGCCTAAATTATATTGAATTTATAATCAAAGAAATTCTGATTCTACGATATTCGCTACTTTTTTTAGAATAATTCTGCGGCGATTAAGGGTAATTTCTGTGATTGGCTGTACTTAAGAGAAATTCTACTGGTTTTCTGTGAAACACAGAAAGTCATCGGTCTTATTCTGTAGTTAATGCTTGTTTTTATACTGTTTATATCTTTCACAAGCATGACGTATTAATTTTGTACTAACGCTAACAAGCGATTTGGTTAATAGTACACTGTATATGTATCTAATAATCGCTAAGCTTTAAGGCATTATTATTATTATTTATTATACAATATTAAGATTAGCCAAGTGTTAGAAATTATTCAAAATTGAAATTATAATTACTGTTTTTTCGCTTAAAAACTTAAGATTTTTTCACTTCGAACTCGTTTTCAATTATCCAATCAGATTTTAAACGTCACAAAACGGTCTACAAACATTAGCCACTTAGAACGAATGTTCGCTATGCTTTTACTGCGTACTGCAGCTCTGTATAAAAACGGCAATACTTAAGGTTAGGGGTTAGATATCGGATATGATAAATTCTAGAAATTTCAAATCCACTTGATTCTGTTCCCAACCATTAGTAGACAGCACGAATTTATAATATTCTAGTTAATGGTTTCAGTATATTTATAACACACGAAAGTATACACAATGACTTTATTATATAGTTATTTTGATTAGTTAATATTAACTTATATTTGCATAAAAATTATAATCATTCCAATAAGAATATTCTAGAATTTTCATTGGAACATCGGAATTGAAAAATCTGGAAGTTCATATTTTAGTCAACGATGTCGATATTTTTTGATAATTTTAGGAGGAGGGCTCAGCTTTTTTCTCTAAAGCTTTCTATGTTTTCAAGAAAATGACATAAATGTATGCATGTTTATTGTGACAAAAATCTTCCAATTAAATAAATACTACTTACTTGTTGTTTTTGTCTCATGATTTCAGCGTCACTATTGATAAAGACCAATTAATTCAATCCCATAAAACAAATTAAAAAAAATTAATCAGTACGTAATTTCAATATCAAAATCGATATAATGATTAGATGTATTTCTTAACATACGAAAGCTTTGTTCTTATATTCTTGGTAACGTTCATTTTTCCATTAAAAATTAATATCTGTTACGAACTTTATTTTATATATTTAACCTATGCGATTTTTTTTTTATTTTTTTATTTTTTTTGTTTTTTTTTGCTTTCGTGAACGATTTAAAATTGCAAATGAACGAATCGAGCCATAAATTACAGCCCCATGCGTCCATAAGAAAATCTCTAATTGCATACAAAAAAACAAAGTAAAAATTAATTAGTAACTTTGTACACACCTTTCCGCACGTTTCTTGAAAGTGACTCCGTCATCTTTTTTCTTGGGAGATTGTTTCTGTTTTTTTAGATTTTTTTCACGAGCTTTTTCTCTTTGATTTCCACCTAATAGTGTTTTGTGAATTTTTATATAGTCATCAAATTAAAATCAAAAAAAAAATTCTGTCATTTTTCTTACTTACGAGCCATTTGAAAAATGAGAATATAGGATAAAAAACAAGCTTGGGAATAAAAAAAGTAAGAATTTGGTTGTGCACTTATTCAGTAACGGAGTTTTTAAGGTCAATAAATAAAATGATCTGCATACTATAATTTTATAATTGGCTAGTGTAAATCAATTGAAACGTTTCACTAACATATATGTAATCACGTGGTACTCGATGCGACTTTAAACAATTGTGATAACGATAAGCAGATGTTAGTGGATGTTCTAGAATACTGACTAAACAGTTACATGAATCTTAGCATAATTCTTAGCATATAATGATGTTATTTTAGTATTAATAAAAGTATGTGAACATACTTTTTCTTCAAAATGAGTATGTCAAATGGTTCAAGTGCAAGATCTTCAACCCCTACTCATGAAGCAAAACCTGCTTCGAGTTTTAGTGATACTCGCCTAAACGACTTAATGCCCTCCTTCCACCTTGAAAATCTTAAAAACACTGTACCAAACACTCTATCAACCACTGCCTCAATGTTATTCTCTCCTTTGACTCCTCGAGCAGTAAAGGGTGATGCTGTGACAATAATCACCGAATTCGCTCCTCAAATGATGGAACGACGCGTACAGCAATATATCAATACGAATGTTCGTCAAACTGAAAATTCAAATCAACTTTCTTTACCCGCAGATGAATGTTCTACACGTTCAACTACTCCAAATCCAGAAGAACTTTTGGTGACTACAGATATACCAGAATCTAAAGCTCCATTATCTTTGATTCAAGGTTATAGAGCAACCTTTTCAGAGACCGAATCAATAAATAACAGAAAAAGAGGAAAACATAAACGAAAGGTTAAAGGCTTTTTACCTGTTCCATCAGATGGGATATCCGATTCTGGTATGTTGTAATCTATTTTTTATTCATTTTCCTATAATTTATTAATACATTATAGTATATACTTAAAGAATTGACCTTTCAAAGACTTGATATATTTTTTTTATAGATAATGAATATAAACCATTAAATCAACTAATTGCTGATCGTGATAGAGTTGTTAAAGAAAATGACAGATTACGTTTGCATGAGGTATTGTGCACAACCTTAATGTTTGAAATAATTAATATGGCCCAAAAGTAATTAAATTTACTAATAATCTTTAAATTTTGAAAAAAAATAAAAAATCTTTACCTGGAAATTTTTTTGCTGAATATCAAGTCACGAATGATAGCCGACATTAAAAGAATTGAAAAGGAAATTGTCGAATTGACCGCAAAAAAGCTTAGTCTTGAATCTAATCTTACAAATTTTGGTATCAGAAAAGCTGAATTGACTGACCAATGTAAGTTTCAAAGCTTTTTTTTTAATTCATATATTAATGACAATTTTGAATTAACAAATTTTGGTAATTTAGTGGAAGATTTGAACGAAAAAATCGCCAATTTTTGCCAAGAAGATAATAATGGTCAAAATATGCGTATTAGAAGAGGTCAGTATATCCATATAACTTTTTTTTTTCTTTCCAAAAGCTAAAGTTTACAATTAAAATTGGACTTAAATTTAGGAAAAACCACTTTAAGATCGCAAGAGCCAGGAACTTGTATAAAGGTAGATAATATTTACATTCGATTCCACCTTTATGTTTCTTAATATTTTTTCATTTATTGTTTTTTATTATTTGAAGACTTTGGAAGGACACGATGATATGATTTTATGTCTTGACTTTAACAAATCTCATGGTACTCTTGCTAGTGCATCTCTGGATAACACTTTGAGGTTATGGGATTTAGCGAATTATCAATGTTTAGGAATCCTAGACGGTCATAAGGGTTAGTTCAAGAATTCTATTTTTTTTCTTTTTTTTTTAAGATTTAATTTTCATTTGTCATCCAAAAGTATCTAAATTTTATTTTTTTTTCGTCATAGGCATTGTAAATTGCATGCGTATGGACAGGAATCATTTGGTTACAGGGTCACGTGATTGCACCATTAGGCAATGGGATATCTCAAAAGTGTCATTACCTCCTAAAATCAAACACATATCTGAAGTAAAATTTAATCAAAATACAACGTCCAATGAAAATGGTTTGTCTTTTATTGGAGACGATTGCTGGCTGGCAACATTAGAAGGACATACAGGGAGTGTCACTTGTTT